AGAACCAACACTGTATTTTAGAACAAACACAGAAGACCACAGAAATGGCATTTGGTATTTTCTCCTAAATTATTGAATAACACTTTAACAAAATTATCGACTTAATTATTAAGTAGCACTTGCCATGTAGCATTTATTTATTCAATCTACACATTTTTGAGTTGCCACTATGTGACAGGCTCTTGAGTTAAACCAGAATAAAGTATAATCCCTGACCTCAAGGAATTTACCATCAGTTGGGAAAGATAGACAATAAATGGGAAATTATGGTTACAGTACAAATGAATAAATGGTAAGGCATCAAGCCATCCTTGGGGAATTGGGCGAGGCATCCTAGAGGAAATCATTTCTAGGTTAATTTCTTAGGTCGAAGTTAAGCAGATGGATGAAGGAGGATGGTGTGGGGAGGAGAGGATATATCAGACAGAAACTGTATGCAAAAGCAGGAGAATATAAATGCAGGAAACTACACACATTTTTAGCATGCCTGGAATGAAGGGTAAAGGATACTGCGAAACGAGGCTGGAGAATCAAGCAGTAACCATGTTGTAAGGGGTGTCGGAAACCACGTCACTTTACAGGTTTAAACCTAAAACTTTTTCTTAGACTGTAGTATTTTTATATGTAGAAGAATATAGCTGAAGAAACAGATTGGGATCTACTAAAATCTCATAGTCTGAAAAGACAAGGTTTACTAGGCAACAAATACTTAATTTGAGTTTCTCCTAACAGGTGAGAGTTATTTCTAACAGGTGAATTTAAAGCCCAGTTTCTTCCTGCAGGTTAAAGCTTTGAATTTTGCTAAATAGACACAGTTTAATATTATAGATCTATAATGGAAGGATTTTTACCAGTGTATATTGAAACTGGAGGGATTTTTTTCCCCTTTTTTGTTCTTGCAGTCATCCATCTCTGTTTGTTTTTCTCATTAGACCGAACTTCTTAGTCATTCTTTTATGCTCTGGGATATAATAGGTACTCTGTTAGTTAAGTGAAGGAATGATGATCCTTTTTTGGGAATTATTACTCAATTTTTGTTTTCCTTCTAGGACCTCGGCTGGATTTTGATCCTGACATTGTAGCAGCTCTTGATGATGATTTTGACTTTGATAATCCAGATAATCTGCTTGAAGATGATTTTATTCTTCAGGCCAATAAGCCAACAGAAGAGGAAGAAGGAATGGATATACGGTATATGTAGTTTCTTTTGAAGTGGATGACCTGACTGTTGCTTCTTTAATAAAATAGTAACCATGGAATGTTACTGCTGAAAGAGTCCTTCGAGAGCATTTAGCCTGAGACTTCTCTGTTTTAGAGCAAAAAAATGTGAGACTTGAGGTCTTTACAAACCGTCGGTAGGTGGGGCTAAAGTCCAAGTTGCCCGATTGCTAGTTTACTTTCCCAGCCATACCAGACTAGTCAGGCAGCACAGCTGTTCCTGCCCAAACAGGAACCCTCCCTGAAATACCCTCAAATTTCACTTGTGTAAAGTCATTTGGTTCTGTTGTTTTTCAAGTTGTTTTGACAGTTACTTTATGACTCTGACTTTAGGAAATATGAGGCTGAAGATGGCAGTGAGTGGGAAGATGTGGATGATGAGAAAGAAAGAGGTAGCGATGATCACTGTGACTCTGCAGGCTCGTTATCAGATGAGGATATGTCTGCTCCTGGAAAACCTCTTGGAGCTCTAGAAAATCACTTGTTCTGGGAAGAGGAAACAAAAAGCCGCTTTACTGAATATTCTATGACGTCCTCAGTCATGAGGAGAAATGCACAGTTGACCCTACATGATGACAGATTTGAGAAGGTAAGGTTACCAATTAAGGGTCTTTGAATACTAGTTCCTAGTAAATTTTATATGACATTGGAATCCAACGCCAAAACTTTCAGCATTAGAAATAGACCATAACTTTTATTAAAACAGACCATGAAACCACCCTAATTTTAATTCTGGAAAGAATGCAAATAGGTCAAATATGGCTTGTCAAACCTCATGACTTCCCTCTTAGAATGCTGACATTTTGATTCCAAACATCTCCAGTCACAGTCCCTAAGATTTTGCTAGTTTCCTTAAGCAGTGGCTTGAGCATAAACAAAATTCCATTTCTTTCCGTTTTTTTTGTATGTTTTGCTCACTGATATATCCCAAGGCCTAAAGTGGTGTCTGACATGTGGTAGGAGTTTGAACTTTGAACTGTTCAGTAAATGATTGAAGAATGAATGAATGAATGGTTTCCTTCAAGATGAATCTAAGATAAAAGTGCTAACTTTACTGCCTTTAACTAAGTACTAATTTATTTCTTCTTGCAAAGAAATAGACAAACTGTTACTACAAATAACCTCATTTCAGGAGTCACATCACTCCCTACTTACTCTTTCACAAAGCCCGATAGCATGAACAGCATTTGAATAATACAAGAAACTTCATCATCTAAACAAAAATGAAATTTGTACATTAGTTTGCACAATCAGTGAATTTGAAAGTATAAAATATTCTGAGGTGAAGATTCTGCAAAATGCTCTCCAAGCTGAACAGAATAAATGCCTTTTATTTTCATATTAAATGGCAGCTATTTTCAGTCTACATGTAAGTCTTAAAGTGCTGGGTAGAATGTTTTTCATATCATGTTAATGGTGCCAAATCCCTGTTAATATTTCAATGGTAGATGTGATCGCATGGTAGTGCTTATGTTGTGTAGGAATAAAATTAATGTAAAAATAACATTTAAATGCTGTAGTCTTCATGAATACATTCATTTTCATGGTATCTTTTTATATTCAAGTTTTATGAACAATATGATGATGATGAAATTGGAGCTTTGGACAACGCCGAATTGGAAGGTTCCATTCAAGTAGACAGCAGTCGCTTAGAGGAAGTTTTGAATGACTACTATAAGGAGAAGGCGGAGAAGTATGGTGGATTTTCCTGGCTTACCTTTTTTTTTTCAGTTTCAAATAAAGTCTGTAATTGTACAAGTTAATTGAAAATCACCCAGTCAGAATCCATATTAAGAAAATGATACATTTTTCATAACCTTTGGCTCACATTTTGACATTAAGAGTTCTGCAGCTGCATATGACAGAGGGTGGGAATGTACTGAGAACCCCTTTCTCTATAACTTTGTCCTAAGAGTCATGGTGGAATAACTGAGGGTTAGAGGGGGAAGTACAAGGTCACATTCCACTTGAGAATGAGAATGAGCTTCTGGCCGAAGAATTATGCTAACTTTGTAAATGTATATTCTTAATCTTCCTGAAATGCCAGGCGTTCTGAGAAATAGATATCGATGGCTTATAGAAAGATAAGAGTTTGTCCGTCCAGCTGGATTAGCATAACTTTCTAGCCAAATATTTGGTGAATCAACACTCACATTAACATGGTTTTTCTGAGAGAAACTAATGAGGTGTTTACATCTGCTAGAAAGGTCTGTGTTCTGTGATCACTATCATATGCAGATCCTACAGCAGGATAAGAGCTGCATACTTTGAGTTATTTGAATACGTTGGAGAGACAGATGGGCTAATGCTTTTTGAGGCTTTAAAAAAGATTATGTTTTAGGAAAGCTGCTATTTTGTTTAATGTGTTATATCCTTGCAAAGACACAGATAGATTTTTCCTTCCTGTCAGCAGAATGAACGTCCAAAACCTGCTAGGAGGGAGAGGCTGAGCTAGATAGAGCTAATTTTGACAGGAAGTGACAAACGGGGCACATGAGTATGTGGATTTTTAAAAATGTTATTGTTTCCATAGTTTAAGTGCGGTTTGGGTATAATAATGGGTGGTGTTCTTTTTTTCCCCTCTTCTATCTTCATTTGTGAAAACCCACTCAAAAGTTGTGTAAAACTGAATACTCTCGAACCCTTCGAGGATCAGGACCTGCCAGTGAATGAACTTGACGGGTCTGAGGAAGAAGAGATTGTTTCTGTAGTTCTCGAAGAGGTCAAAGAGAAATGGGATTGCGAATCTATTTGTAGTAAGTATCTTAGTGTCCACCTCGCTGCTAAAAGTTGTGACAGTAATTTCAAAGTATTAAGTACATCAACTTTTTGAAAAAGTACATTTTTCTGAAAATAACTTGGAAAAAGAAATATTCCTACATTATAAATGATATAAAAACATTATAAGAGAGACTTCAGTGTTATTTTGAACTATGAAAACCCCAAAATTGGGAATATCATAGGAACTCCAGTAATATTTTGCTGAGCTGAAAGTGTACTTATTAAACCATGATTTTTTTTTTTTTTTTTTTAGGTACATACTCAAATTTATATAACCATCCACAGCTTATCAAGTATCAACCAAAGGTAAGTTCTAATGTCCTGAGCTATTTGAAATGTGCAGTGCAGGAACTGAAGTGTACAAATTATTTTTCTACAGCGACTTTATCTCTCTCTACTGGCTACCAACACCATTAGGAAAAGCAACACCAATGTGTCATAAGAGAGCTATTTTTTAATAGAAATGGGAAATAACTCTAGTGCCATTTTTGTCTTTCTTTTAGCCCAAACAAATCCGAATATCTTCTAAAACAGGGATACCTCTCAATGTGTTACCTAAGAAAGGGCTTACAGCAAAGCAAGTTGAACGAATGCAGAAGCTTCATGACAGTGATCTACCCGAGGTGTCAACCCAGCCACGCTCTAAAAATGAAAGCAAAGACGAAAAAAGAGCAAGAAAGCAAGCTGTAAAAGAAGAGCGCAAGGTGAAGTACTCTTCCCAGACATGGGATTTGCAAAGAGCTGGTGGGCAGGGAGGTCCTGGGGGTTTTCTTTAGCGAAATTAGTTTGCATCAGGTTGAGGATTTGAATAACATGCACATATTCCTATACAGGAACGGAGAGTAGAGAAGAAAGCTAACCAGTTAGCCTTTAAACTGGAGAAAAGAAGGCAGGAAAAGGAGCTGCTGAATTTTTGAAGAATGTTGAGGGGCTAAAGCTATGACAGTAGAGCTTCGAGGGTAAGGCACAGTCCCCTTCAGGGCTCCTCGTTATGTTCAGGAATGAACGAGGATCTTCAAAGGGACAACACTGACCTGCCATTTTTACTGGCAGGTACTGTAAAAGAAACAGTACAATATTTGTATTTATACCAGCAAGTTTGTAAATATTGTAATATTTTTAAATTTAATACGATAAGCTTACATTTGCTCTGAAATAAATGACTTCATGAATGTGAAATGTTTGGATGAATTAAAGGAAAATGTCTTCATAACTTAAATGGAATTGGTGTGTTATTTGTATGGTTGTCCCAGTTGTCTTTTGCAGATGTTCTCAAATATTTCTTTGAAACCTCTTCAGTCCTATTCAGAAGGGGCTTAATTTGCTGGATGTAGAAAAGTGGCCCAGTTAAACTCAATTTTGAACTGCTGAACGGTAAGAAGAGTGTTTCTGAGAAGATTTCACTGATAGGAAGCTGTTTTCCTTTGCTGTATGTAAAGGGCTATTTCAAAAGGATGGTAAAACTGAATATTAAGGTTTTTGGGACTCAATTACTGGATGACTTGCTTTTGGAATTTAGGAACAGTGAAGACAGGAAACAGAAGAAGAAATAATCAAGAAAATTTCCTTGGCTTCAGTGCCTGGCTCAAAATCAGAACTATTTGCTTCAGTTTAAACTAGAAAGTTTGTCTTTTCAACATTATTTAATGCTTGGAACCATTTATACTTGACTAAAATACATAGTTGAAAACTCCCTGCTTTTCTGATGAGTTTGTTTTTTTAAATAGCTTTAAGCTTTTTCAAGGCTAAAGCAATGACACCATCACAATTGTTAATTATTTGGTAAATTGTGACTTCCTTGCAACAGACAAGTTGTTAGTGACCCTTTTTCATGTGTCCATGACTGGCATGTTATCTGGACTCTTCTGGAAAAGATACCTGGACACTGTTGGTCTGAGTTGGGAACAGAATGGCTAGGGCAGAACCATTTTTAGCAGGTGAGCTGCATTTGCTACCTAAGTTATTAGGAAGTGTCTTCATCTAATTCATTTGATTCTGGTTTTTCCACAGCTGGTGTTATTTTGTTCTATATGTTATCAATTCTAAATCTCTTATTACTGTAGGAGTTTTAAAAGAGTTATGAGAAACAATAGCATTAGGGACTCTACCAACATTGATTGATACAAAAAACTTGGCTGAAGAATTTATCATTACAGAAGTAGAATACTGGAAAGTGTGTATTTAAATGCCAACCCATGGAAGCAAAGGGTCAGATGATGGTTTATGGTATTATTGGGAATAGATTAAATCCTAAAAGGATTGCCCATTTATTTTGATAGCTATCTCAGTCCAAGGTCTTCAAAACCAGCAAGAAACTTATAGATATGGAATGTTACTTAGACTTCGTGCTATTCAAATACCATCTTACGAGCTTCTAATTGCGCTGCACTTTACCCAAAGGGCTTAAATCAGTATACTACGTACTTTGCAATTAAGAGAACGTGACGATAAGCCACAAGTCTTGGTGAAGCACATTGGGATTTAGGTTGATTCTCCTCCAAATTTAAAGGTCTCAATTTTATTTTTGAGAAATTCTTACACAAAAATTTTATTTTTAAGAAATTCTTACAAAATTTTTAATTATGAAATTTTGGAATATTGATGATTTGAGTCATCTATAAACAGTGGTTGGGAACTTAAGCTCTGTGCTAAATGTCAGGAGTGCAAAGCGATAAGAGGAGTTTCGACTTCAGGACTGCATCATCTGAGGAGGCAGGGTGTGTGCAGCAAAATATTACTGGCAAGGGCAAGTCGCTGTGGTAAGTACCACTTAAAATGAGACTGTTGGTACTTGCTGTTCCCCCTGAAGTGATCTTACTACAATTAAACCTTTCTCAAGGTTATGTCAATTATCACTTCCCCGTGAACTTTTCCCTGATGCATTTTAAAATAGCACCCTGCATTCTTTATGCTCCTTCCCTGCTTTATGTTCTTCATGGCACCTATTGGCATCTGAGATCTTGTTTTCAGTCTCCTCTGACAAAAATGAACTGAGGGCCAGGGATTTTTGTTAATTGCTTTATCCCTTGGGTCTAGAACAGTGCCTGACATTTGGTAGATGATCACTAAGAAATATGTAAATGAATGGATAGGTGGGAAAGACAGGAAAGTATTGCTTAAACCTGAAGGGAACAATGGGACCTAGACTATGTTAGCAGGAAGAAAGCCTGAAGCATCCCACGCAGAGGGAGCAAAATCATGAATTTGTCCGCTTTATGTCAAGGACCTATTTTGTGTAAGCATTGTCCACGAATGCTATAAAATACTTTTTGAGATATTTTAGAAGTACTGTTATTTTACAAGTCAAACTTAAGTATCAGAAACGTACCACTTGTGTATGTTACCTGGTGTACATTATATCCACACCTCTATTGTGATGTCATCAAATCACCTCAGGTGAAGGACAGAACTCTAGCCATGCTGTAACTTTACTGTTACATTATCAATATGTTTATGTTGCTTCTTTCTGTGTGTTAACATAGTATGCTTCGTTCATCTTGTTTGTTTCAGTTAAAGGTCAGGAGAAGGTAAAAATTCTAATGGCCTTAAACTTTAATTGTGAAACTTATAAGAGAATGTATAATAGTACAAACACACCCACTATTCAAGTTAAGAAATAGAACATAGAAGTCACCTGTGGGTTCCTCCTCAATTTCATTTCACTCTTTTCCTTCGGGTTCCTCTTAGGTACTATCTAGACTCCCATCACCTGTATGGTACCCCTGAATGCAGTATCTTGTTTAGTTTTGAACCAGTAAGAAGCATAAATCTAGCACTATGTAGGAAGGCAATATTTACTACAATTTGATGAAGGCATCCTTAAAATGAGCTGAATAGTCTCTGAGTCTGATATCAGCTTCTAGAGTTTACAAGAGCCCCTGTGGAGATGTCAGTGAGCAGGTGATGAGTGAGTCCTAGGGAATGTAAATCACCACAGCTGGAGCATCTTTGATCTCCTGAAGAGATAATGCTAGAGGTTGTATGCATGTTTTATATTTTCTGCTTCTAAGCTCACCTCAGTCAAGATCAATGCAGAACCTTCTCATGTAGTGAAATTAATGTCCTCAGCTGATTTAGACTTCAGAATATGAAGAGGAGAGTAGGCATTTCATTGAGACATGGTCAAACAAGCCCAGTGTAGAACAGAATGGGAGCCGGATACACTAGGATGTGCTGTCCTCGGATTGCAAAGGCAGTGAATACTGGTTATGATGGCCTTCGAGATGCCATTAATCACACGCCTCCACTCTGTCCTGGAGTGCTCTAGTTCTGGTACCTGCTATTATCATGGGAATTCTACCTATTTGCTCACCTAGTTGCAGAGCACATCCTCCAGTCATTCTTGAGAACAGCATCTACAGAATGTAAACTTTGTGAAACCTTGCATGTCTGGAAATATATTCTACCCCCATATTTGATTGACAGCTTGACTAGGTAAAACACTCTAGTTTGGAGGTTATTTTCCCTCAGAAGCTTAAAGGATTTTTCTCATTTATTTCCATTTCTATTGTTTGGAATCTGAAGGCATTCTGATTCTTGACACTTTGTATGTTAGTTTTGTTTTGTTTTGTTTTGTTTTTTATCTAAGTAGAGCCTCTGTCTCCAGTGTTCTAAAATTTTACAATGATGTTTATTGTTATAGATCTGTTTTCATCCATTGTGCTGGGTCCTTTCAACCAGAAAGCTCATGTCCTTTCACTTCTGGAAATTGTTAAAACTTATTTTTATTTTCTTCCTTGTGTTTTCTCCTCTTCTCTCTTGAATTCCTATTATTTGGAGTAGAACCTTCTAGACAGGTACTCTAATTTGCTTATGTTTGTCTCCCATTTCTATGTCATTTTACTTTCTGGGCGATTTCCCTAATTTTATCTCTCAACTTTCTTATTGAGCTTTTCATTTCTCCTATAAGCCTTTTAATTTCCAAGAGCTTTAGTTTTCCTTCAAATTTCTTTTTTGTTTGTTTTGGGCTTACATTCTAGAGACTTTGCTTAGATCTTTGGAAATTCCTGTCTGTCTGTTCATGATTAAGATTGGAGGAAGAAAATACTGGAAAGTCTAAATGAATAAGTAATGTTTGATAATTTTAAGCTTTCTTGTAGGCTGGTCTGAATGAGCTGTTTGGAAATCTGCCCCATGTCAGTATCTGTATCTGTTTCCTCATGGAATAGTTATATTCCCAGGGAAGTTTTTATTCTGCATTAGGAGTAAAGGGCAAGCAAGCAGAGTTCTGTGAGCCAAGTAGAGGAAGGTAGGTATGGGGGTATTCTCTGCTTTCAACATCACTACTCATATGATTAATCACTAGATTATATGCATACGTATATGTGTGTATATGTACATATATACGTGCACATGTGTATACATATAGAGTTAATCCTTAGTAATCATGGAATCCCTATTTGCAAATTTGCCTACTTGCTAAAATTTCTAACTCTAAAATCAATACCCAAGGCACTTTCATGGTCAGGCATAGACATGCACATAGCAGTTAAAAAGTTGTCACCTGGCATGCATGTTCCCATCTAAGGTAGAAAAAGGTGAGGTTCTGCCTCCTAGTTTCGGCTCATACTGTCAACAGGTGTCCTTTTCACAGTCTAGTTAGTGCCATATTTTCATGTTTTTTTCGCTTTCTCAGTGATTTCACTGTTGAACATGGCCCCCAAGCATAGTGCTGAAGTATTGTCTAGTGTTTCTAAGCACAGGAAGGCTTACAGAGATAATATGTCCGTTAGAAAATATTCATTCAGGCGTGAGTTATAGCGTTGTTGGCCATGAGTAGTTCAGTGTTGTTGAATCAACAATATTTATTTAAATAAGGTGTCTTTAAACAGAAGCACATAAAAAAGGTGTAGATTGATAGGATGATAAAAATGTGACCAGAGGGTCACTGGATCTAACCCTGTACCTGCCCCAAGAGTGATGAGTCCATGTTTGCTCATTTAGTGCTTGCAGAGAGGGAACATAATTACCACAAATACTGAAAGTCAGCCGCGTGCTTGTGTATTTATCTACCTCTCCATGCTGTCAGCTGTGCCTCATGTTGACTCCTGCACAGACCTCCTCTTTTATCTGTTCTGGAGAGTAGACTTCTGCTAGAGTTGGGGAAGGGCAATCACCCTGGGGGCATGGAGCGAGGGAGGCGATCTAGGCATCTTCTTTTTAGAAAACTTTCACCCCATCCTCTATATTTTAGCAGTCTCTTCATTATCATCGTTTTTCTTGTGCCAGTTCCAGAGGTATGTGCTGCCCTGGGGGTTCTCGTGACCTTGAAGGGTTCTCAGTTCTCCCTACTATCAGTCTAGGAAGTGGCTTTTGATGTAACTTTACAGCCTCTAAGTTGGTTACCATGTCCATCAGCATTGCAGATTCCAATTATTTTTATTTTATAATAATATATTATTTTCACTGTCCTCATGGTTCTCTATTCCTTTTGTCCCTTTACTGTACAATTTTGGGGCTTTAGGAGAAAGCAAAAATTGATGGGGTGTTCTCTCTGCCATCCTAACTCATTAGTCTTAATTCCTTTTCTTGTTTCATGACTCATGTTCCTAAGATAAGTTAATAAATTGAGGTCAGTATGCCACAACCTTTGCCATATGGCCATGAAAGATGTCGAAATTGCTAATGTTTGCATGTTCTGGGTTGTAAAGGACTTAAGAGTTCTTTGACTTGCAGACAACGGAATGAGAAAACATCTTTCTTTTCCTTCTCTACCATGCCTGTATAAGGAAATGTGAATTAGTAGGTGTCTTTACAAAGCAGTCTTTCAGCTTGGAAAGAAAATGTCTAGTCAAAAGTAGAATTTTTTCCAATTTCATTAGAGCCATAATCCCCTCCAGGTTTCTTATAAAATTTTTGAACTGAGATCTTTGTAATTCTTATTTTTCACTGTTTGCATGCTAAACAAAGCTGTTGATCACTTCCAGATCACCTTCCTTTCCTCAATTTTAAAATTGTCTAAGATTATAAACCAGCATATAAAAGTAATAGCTACTTTAATAATCTACTAAGACTCCAATTAGAAAGAGTAAAGATAGAAACAACTAAATTGATACTCATTGTTTTAGAATCTTCTATCAAAAAAATTTTTAATGTTATTCTTTTATTCTGATTTTTAAAACAGTGATATATAATCTGTGTAGAAAAATTGAAAATGCAGGAAACTAAAGAAATAATCACCTTTATTTATACCACTCAGAGGTAATTACTGTATATATATATACATAAATATCTATATCTATATCCTTCCGGTCTTTATTTGTAAATATAACATATCATTAACATTTTCCATGTTATTCTTCCACAAATCATTTTTAATTGCTACGTTCTCATTTACTAGTTGGTGACCTTTTTCTGTACAGGCCAAAATGAATAATTTTCGGCTTTGCAGGCCATATGTTCTTTGTTACAACTACTCAGCTCTGCTTTTGTAGCGCGAAAACAGCGATATATGTTATATAAACAAACAAACGGGCCTGACTGTTCACCAATAAAACTTGATTTACAAAAACATGCATTGGCCCCCCCTGGCCACAATTTGCCAAACCCTAGATATTATCAAAACTTTTTATTTTGACATAGTTCACAAAGTTGCAACATAGTGCAGAGAGATCCCATGCACCCTTTACAGTTTCCCCCAAGTTATTTAAATAACTAAATACCTAAAATGCAATATCAAAACCAAGAAATATGCACTGGTATGATGTGTGTTTATAGTTCTATACCATTTTATAAATGTGTGGCCCACCACTACAATAAAGGTATCGACTTATACCATCACCATCTCCCTCACTCTGTTCCTGCGTCATCACAACCACCTCCCTCCTTGACCATCCCTACCTCTTGGCAATCACTCATCTATTTTCCAGCTCTATAATTTTGTCATTTTGAGAATGTTTTACAAGTGGAATCACATAGTATGTGACCTTTTGAGACTGACTTCTCTCACTCAGCATTGAGACCCATCCAGGTTGTGGCATATATCTATAGTGTTCCTTCTATTGGTGAGTGGTATTCTAGGGTGTGGAAGTAACAGGTTGACCTATCGAAGGGCATTTGGTCATTCCAAAGAATTCTTTTAAAGTCCTAGTGACTACATTCCATGTGATTCAGCATTCTGTAACAAACACTGTAGACCTCATTGATCTCCATGTTTGCTTCAACTGACATAGGCAGATGTTCCCTTCTTTCCTTATAGTTAAGCTTCCATGTTGAATGTGGTTCAGAATATGGGGTCCATGTATTTCAGATGTTCAACTGAATCATATTTATCTGTCATTATTTTAAATTCACTGAACTCATTTAAATTCACTGATTGAAACCAAAGACCATTATTTCTCCAGGGGCTTTCATTTGCTTTCTGCGTTAGTACTGACATAATATATCTATATGGTGATAGATGAATAATCTTAATACTTGCAAAGATAGAGACTCAGATTGAAGTCTCAGTGTAACCTCTTATTACCTGTGGTCTTAGAAAAATCTAAACTTGAACCTCCTTTTTCTTATCTGTAAAATAATGGGTGGGTAGGTAGGTAGGTAGATAGATATACCCACCCTATCTCATAAGATTGCTGGGAGGAGCAAATTTGATTATGTAGGAAAAGCATTTGGGGAACTGGAAAACACCATAAAAATGTTACATAAAAATAAATGCATTAAAAAATAAATCTTCATTAGCGTTTTAGAAAAAGCAGCAGGTTTATAATTAGGAGGAATACTTTTTATTAACAAGTATGTGGAGGGGTGGGATACCCTTGCTGGGGGAAAAAAAAAAAATTAAGACCCCATTTTACAGAGTTAGAAGGCCAGAAAAACAGGGAGAGTGATATTTCTGTATGCTGTAATGGATGACCTGTGTTGCAAATACAATACCATCTGGCAGATGTGAGAAGAAATCATTTAAATCAACAATGTGTGTAATGAGCTACCATCTGATTCCTGTTAATCAGGCCTTCCTTTTTCAAACTGTCTTCCCTTGGTTTCCATGACCCTGTTCTCTCTGCTTCTCCTTCTGGCTTATCACCATCATCTTCTTGGCCCTTAAATATGGAGTTCCCTGGGGATCATCCCTGTACTTCTCTTTCCATGACCTCTTCCCTGGCAAAATCACGCCTTTACATCACTCTCCAAACAAAGCCTACATCTGTGTCTCTAGCCCTGACCTCCCTCATATCCATCCTGCTGGCTGGATAACTCTATTTCAAACTCAGTATTTCCAAAGCTGAGGTCATTTTTCTTACTAAGATGGCCCTTTTCAAATTCTCTATTTCTTTTTCTATCCACAGCCCTATCATTCTCTCAGGCTCGGGCATCCTTCTCTCTTCGCCACCACCCAAATCCCCCAAATCTAGTCATGTCGTTGATTCTCTGACCACAGTGTGTTCCATTTCCTCCTTTCTTTCCATTTAAGGCCTGCACCTTTAGCTTTTTAACTAAAATCTTATCTTCCCTCCCCACCATCATCCATTTCGTCCCTCCTCACCTTTGTCACATGAATCTTCTACAGCGTTGTCCAAGTTCTTCTTACTCAGTGTTCTTGATTGGTCCCCTTGTTTGTAGAAAAAACTCATTGTTATTCTAATATAAAATCTTCTCGATGATCAAACTGCTTTTTAATCTTTATATACTCAACTCTAGGAGAATGGAAAGGAAGTAATATGAAGTCACTTTTTTTTCTCACAATTCCATAATGTTTTCCTTTTCTCGAGACATTTTTCTAACTTCATTTAAAGTAATTTATGTGCATACTTTCCTTTTCTATGCTGGACCCACGTATGGTTTGTCTCAATATTCCCACAGAGTTGCACAGAGCACATATTTGTTGAATGAATGATTGGTCCTGTGGTAGAAACTCAATTCTTCTTTGGCCCATATATTCAAGAAGTATTTATTGAGCACCCTCAAGTACTTTGAAGCACTGGGATGTAGTGGGCACAGTTTCAGCCTTTTTTTTATCTTTTATATTTGAGTTTCTCCTTCATTTAACTTTTAAAATACTTCTACGGTTGAATATTAAAAAACAATAGCAAGTAGTGAACATATTATGATTATAATCCTTCACTCATTCACTGCTGCATATGAAATGCCAGCAGTAAGTATTATTCACTGGCCTCATTAAGGGGGTCTGACCCCAAACACCACCCTCAGGATGATGTTCCCCATCCTCATATGCTTATCCATTATAATGGCACCCCTTTCCTGATTTGAATCAAAATCTACCAGTTCTACCTGGTCCATTTTATCTGTCTCTTCTACTTCCTCTCAGGTAGGTGGTTATTCCAGCAAAGAGAGTTTATTGAGAGAGAGAAAGCCATTCCCAGGAAAGCTTATCTTAAATCTAATGATTAGGCAACCTTTTTCATACAGTCTGATAACTTGGCCTGCCTTCATTTAGCACACAAATAGACCTTCCATTCTAGTAGGAATCCCTGAAGCTGTTACCATTGGATTATTGATTACTATACTAAGGTATTAACTTTGTACTTATGTCTAAGCAAAGGTATCAGGCACTTTGTTTAAGAATATATTAAGTATTAAATAATTATACTCTGATTGCCCAAAGGATATGGAATTTACCTGATTAGTGAAGTGAAAGTTTTATTAGGAGAGGAAAACACAGGTGAGTTTACAAAGGACCTTTTTAAGAGAACGAAGGAGCTGGTGGGGAGGGAAAAGAGAGTGAGGATATTAAGCTATTGAGGTCTCCTCCAGTTAGTCATTTCTTCTCAGGCAGGCAATTCCATGAAACTAACATAATGTGCTCTTGGATCTTATACAGATGGCAATCAGGAATTATTTCCCTGTGAAGTCTGTGGAAGACGCTTTGCAGCAGATGTTCTGGTAAACATAAAGACATTTTGTAGATGTGTTTCATTGGAGTTAAATGAACTGTCAAGTTAGAGAGGAGGCCGCAGTGGCAAAGATTAAAGACAGATGTGCAGGGAAAGCAGGGGAAGAGAAGCGCATAACCTATGGTTGGCAGGCCCGGAGGACACGGAGGCAGGTCGATGCTGCCCCATTCAAAGGGGAACTTATTAAACATAACCCTCTTACCAACAGGATACCAGATAAAAGTATCTTGGCACAGCTGATTGTCTCTGGAGAGATTTTGGCTCTTTTGCCTCTTCTATAAGCATCAGAAATTCAAATTTTAAGGCCAAAACACCAGGGAAATTAGCTAGTCAAGAGGAATGAACATTGAATTTAGAGCATCTGGAAACTTGGCTTTTAGCTTCAAATTTGTCACTAATTCTGACAAGTCCTTTAACCTCCCTCTGTTTCCTGCTTTGCCACGTATGAAGACAGAACCCTCCAATTTCAGGGATTTTATGTAATTTGAACAAAATGGATGTAAAGCCTTTTCCAAGATTTAATTGTTAAACCAGTTTCAAGCTAACTGCGCATTAAGTTTCTTGATTGATGCCTATAAAGTGGAATAAAAGCTTGATTTATTTCAAAATTAGGGGGTCAAACAGGTATTAGGCCCCAATATTATAAAAGGATTCTCAAGAAAAAAAAATTAAAATGAAGATGTTAGTTGGTAGATCAAGGACACACATCAAACTTAAAGGATTCGGAGTACAAACCTTACTACATTTGGGGCAAAGGACTATAAAATGAGGTTGTAGGTTTTATTTCTATGGAGAATTTAAAAAATGAAATACCTATTCTTTTAATTAACTTCAGCTAGAGCTTCCAGAATCTAGAAGGGGACCTCACAGGGCCTGCTGTGGCTTGGCACTCCACCAGTGTGCTGCCTTTGCCTTCACCAGCCTGGGGCTGTGCCCCATGGGGAGGGGGTTGAGACCCAGGAGGTTCCATCTGAAGAGTGATTACTAATATCAAGTGTATCTTGAGTTTTACTTCCTAGGCCTATCTCTAGTCTACAGAGAGGATTTGATCAACTGATCTAATCTTTCTCTTCTAGTTTAAAATGGTATGGTTTGTTTATAGCCAGGTGCAGTGATTTTCATAGAGCCTGTATTTTGTTGGGTTTGGACAAAGCAACTATGTAAGTGATAGCTATTATGAGTTACAGATCCACCAAGGAAGAGGATTTAGAATAGAAGGCAAAGATGTTAGCATAACCCCATAGTGGTACAGTAACAGACGTTGTAAAGTTGGTACACAGGTAGAGCTCTACCTGTGTTGGTCCCCTGGTTTTTGTACTCAAAATGCTGAATGCTTAAAGGACTACTGGCTGGAGTAAAGAGTGTTTTCCCTGCCAATTGTCTTGCAAATATTATAATATTTTTAAATTTAATATGATAAGCTTACATTTGCTCTGAAATAAATGACTTCATGAATGTGAAATGTTTGGATGAATTAAAGGAAAATGTCTTCATAACTTAAATGGAATTGGTGTGTTCTTCATTTATTTGTATGGTTGTCCCAGTTGTCTTTTGCAGATGTTCTCAAATATTTCTTTGAAACCTCTTCACTCCTGCTCAGGAGTTAAGTGGCTTAATTTGCTGTATGTAGAAAAGTGGCCCAGTTAAACTCAATTTTGAACTGCTGAACGGTAAGAAGAGTGTTTCTGAGAAGATTTCACTGATAGGAAGCTGTTTTCCTTTGCTGTATGCAAAGGGCTATTTCAAAAGGATGGTAAAACTGAATATTAAGGCTGTTGGGACTCAAATTTCCTACTATATTACTGGGTGACTTGCTCTTGGAATTTAGAAACCGTGAAGGCAACAATAAAAGAAATCATCAACAAAACTTCATTGGTTTCAGTGAGTACCTGAAAATAATAGCTCAATATCAGAAATATTTATTTCAGTTTAAACGATAAAGTTTGTCTTTTCAACATTATTTAATGTTAAAACCATTCATACAGCCGAAGTGATAGAGCTAAATATGTATAACCGAATTTGAAGTAAGTCTCTTTAGCTGTAGAGGCCTTTTATTGACCTTGAACAAACATAATATCTTGTTATGTGTAACATGGGTGAGGAGAGCCAGATGGATTTGCTCTGCTGTGATTTGAGAGTTAGAGAATGAACTTGGCTCTGCAAAGGTCCAACTCAGTCACTGTAGTGGGGGCTGCCTGAATACACTGTGGCATTACAAACTTTATGATTGTACATTTAAAAAAAAATTTCATCCCCACCCTTTCTTTTCTAGGAAAGGCATGGACCAATATGTCGAAAACTCTTCAACAAAAAACGCAAACCTTTCAATTCCTTAAAACAAAGATTACAAGGCACTGACATTCCCACTGTGAGGAAAGCGCCTCAATCCAAGGTATTATCTGTATCTCCCTTATTGTTCCTGATTACATCCCTAAGTACATTAAAGCCTCTTTCTGGCTCTCTGCCTTCATTTTTGCTTGATAGTGTAGTATAATGTCATGTAAGTATAATCCACCTTTACTGTTTTCTTTTTAATCATGCTTACTTAGATTTCCAAATGTATTTCAGATACTTTCCAGATGTGGCAAAAAAGAATCTTGTTTATATTTTCATTAGAGTAGCATTAAATCTAGCAATTCCCTTGGAAGAAAGTCACTTTTAATCTTACATTTAAGTCTTCCTTTAAAGTTTTGTAGTTTCTTTGTTTATCTGATTGTTATTTTGTGTTTTCCTTCACTACTGTGACCTGTGAATTTTATGACTGTATTTTCCAAACCTCTTTTAGTACTTTCGAAAAACAAATTCTCCTTTCTCTTCAAATTTCACAGGCCTGTTTCCTTCCTGTAAATACAAATCCCAGCTTTAAAAAAAAAAATTTTAATGGCGAGCTATGTACTTTAGGTTAGTATATGTTGGTTTTATTTTTTTATAGCCTCAACCCGTGAGGAAAGCTAACTGGAGACAACAACATGAAGACTTCATTAATGCAATTCGATCAGCGAAGCAGTGTACACTAGCCATTAAAGAAGGCCGACCTCTTCCACCTCCACCCCCTCCCACCATTAACCCAGGTGTGTGGCCAGTGTGGTTTGCTTTTGATATTTACTCTTAACCAATCGAGGCTATGATTTTTGACCCAATTATCATGCCTCGCTTCCTCCTATGCAGTCTAAAATTAACAACAACAATTAAATTATGTAAAAGTAGTTTTATCAAAAAACTTATCCTATTTTATTTTCAGCTCTACCAAAAGATTCTGTTTCCTCCTCTTTAACATCAGTGCATCACTGTCCACAGCCATACTACCCTAAATTGTGTGATCTCGGAAGCTAAGCAGGGTTGGCCCCAGTCAGTCCTCAGATGGGGGAACATCACTGTACCCAGTGTCATGGCATTACATAACTGCAGGGGACACAGTTCACGTCATGTGTTATGACAATGGAGCTGTGCAGAACCGTTTAAGTAGTTCTATAATGGCTTCCTAGTGTAAGATATAGACAGCTTCTTAATTTTTTTGAGATAAAATTCCCATAACATAAACTTCACCATTTTAACCACTTTACACTGTACAGTTTAGTAGCCCGCAACTTTTTTACCCTAAACTTGTTATTTTGAAAAATTTCAAATCTACAGAAGAGAGTAAGGAATAATACAATGATCACTCATATACTTTCCACTGAAATTTGACAAATGTTGACATTGTCATATTTTTTATCTCTCTTTTTTGGCAGAACTATTTGAAAGGAAGTTTCAAAATTCATAACACTAGCTGTTTCAGTATGCATTTCTTAAGCATAAATATATTTTTCCACAAAACCACAATACTACTGTCACACTGAATATATAAACTCATATTTTCCCAATTATCTTAAGAATGTCTTTTAAAGTTCTCTCCTCATTCCCCAGCCACAATCCAAGATTCGGTCAAGGTTTATACATTGTCTCTAGTCCCTTTTAATCCTGCACAACACCCTCGCTAGACCAATGATCTTTTACAATGTCTCATGTTCTGGATTTGTCTGCTTTTTTATAGTCATATTAGTGTTTAATGTGTTCTTCTATCCCCCATCTTTCTGTAAATTGGAAATTAGGGCTAGAGGCTCGATTAGATTAATATTAATCCCTTATCAGTTATAGGATTTTCAAATATCTTCTTCCATTTGATGAACTGTGTTTTCACTCTCCTGATGTTACCTTTTGATGCAAAAAAGTTTTTAATTTTAATCGTGTTCAATTTATCTTTCTTGTTGCCTAGCTTTTGATGTCAACCCCCCAAATTACTGCAAAATCCAAAATTGTAAAACTTTACCCCTATGTTTTATAGTTTTAGCTCTTACTCTTATACTTAGGTCTTTGACCCAGGCTGACTTAATTTTTGTATGTGGTGTAAGGTAAGATCCCATTGGAAGTTAAGTATGTAGTTTTATATGTGGTTATCTAGTTTTCTCAGCACTGTTTGTTGAAAAGACTGTTCTTTCCCCATTGAATGGTCTTGGTACCTTCATCAAAAATCAATTTTACCATATATGAGAGGATTTATTTCTGGACTCTATTCTATCCTATTTGTTTGTATGTCTATCCTGTTTTGATTATTGTAGCTTTGTAGTAACTTTTGAAAGCGGGAAGTGTGAGTCTCCCAAGATTGTTTTAGCTATTTGGGGAACTTTGAGATTCCACATGAATTTTTAGGATTTTTTTTTTAGTCTTTGAAAATACCATTGGAGTTTCGTTAGGGATTACATTGAATCTGTACATCATTTGGGTACTATTGTCATCGTAACAAAATTGTCTTATATCTATGAACACGGAATGTCTTTTCATTTATTTATGTTCTCTTAATTTCCATTAATAATGATTTATAGTTTTCAGTGTACAAATCTTTCACATCCTTGGTTAAATTTATTCTGAAGTATTTTATTCTTTTTGATGTTATTGTAAATGGAATTGTTAATTTTCTTTTGAGATTGTTCATTGTTACTGTACAGAAATGCAACTGATCTTTAAGCATCGATTTTGTATACTGCAACTTTGCTGTATTTTGTTTATTAGCTCTAGCAGTTGTGTTTTGGTGTGGATCCTTTAGGGTTTCCTACATATAAGATTACATCTTTTGTGAACAGAGATAATTTTACTTCTTCCTCTCCAGTTTGTCTGCCTTTTATTTCTTGTGTTTAAACCTTCTGGCTAGAACTTCCAATACTATATTGAATAGCAATGGCAAAAGCAGATATCCTTATCTTGTTTTCCATTGAGTAAAATGTTAGCTGAGGGTTATAACTGGCTATTTAAGCATAAATAACAGCATATTATGGAGATTATAACATGTGAAAGTGAAATGTGTGAAAACAATAGGACAAGTTTGAAGAAAATGAACATATATTGTTGAAACATTCATTCACATTATACGTGAATAGGTATAGTATTATTTGGAGGTAAGTGTTATCTCATAAAGATGCCTATTTTAAATCCTAGAGTAAACTCAAAATATTGACAAATAGCTAATAAGACAATATATGGAGTGTAGATAAAGTGGAAAAAAATCATTTCAAAAGAAGACAGGAAAAGAGGAAAAAAGGAACAAGGAACAGATGGGATGAAGAAAAACAGTAAGATAGTAGACTTAAACCTAATTATATGCACAATTGCATAGAAATGATGTAAATACTTTAGATAAAAAGCAGAGATTGTCAAACTGAATAATTAAGCAAAGTCCAATTATATATTTTCTACAAGGAACACACTTTAAATATAAAGACACAAACAGGCTAGGCAGGTGACAGAATGAGGAGGGTGGGTCCTGTGGGCCTGGAGAGCCGACACCCTCCCTAAGTGACAGCTGCTCCTGCTTCAGCAGGGTGATGCCTCAAAGGAACCTACATCCTGAGTTGCCAGATCTAATTTCTCAAAGGATGGCAGAAATGCAGGTTTCCTGATTTATAAATATTAGAAGCTCAGTTTTTTAGAATCCTCAAGTTCGAATCTCAGGTTAGAAGTCAAGCCATGGTTTTCCTTAGCAGGGCGATGAGGACCAGAAGGATTATAAGGACCCTTGCTGGGACATTCCGTGTCTTGATCTGGGCTGGTTACATGGGTGTGTGTGGCTCGTGAACATTTCATGGAGCCATAAACTTATGATTTGTGCCTTTCCTCTCAGATAAAAAGGTAAAGGCAAATAAACACCAGCAATGTCAAAACAACTATAGATTGGTGTGTTTAAAGCATGAGAAAAAATATACATGCAAATAATAATCATAAAACTGAAGTGGCTAATAGTAATATCAGGCAAAGTAAACTTCAAGGTAAGTATTATTGACAGAGATAATGATTAAAAATATATATTCATCCAGAAGAACTATCAGTTCTAAATGTTTATATATCTAGTAACAGATCTTCGAAGAACATGAAACAAAAACTGACAAAACTGGAAGGAGAAGTAGACAAATTCACAATCATACTTGGAGATTTTATCATTCCTTTCTTAGTAACATAAAATAAGCAGCAGGAAAATCAGTAGGGATAGAGAAAACTTGAACAATGGTATCAATGAGTTTGACCTAATTGACGTCTATAACCATAATGTGGCACGCAAGAACAGCAGAATACGGGTCAAGTACATATAGAACCTTCACCCAAGACAGACGAGGTGCAGGGCCACAAAGTGGGTCACACAGTAAGTCTAAAAGGATTGAAACCATGCAGACTATGCTATTTAACCACAATAGAATTAGAAATGAATGATGAAAATATATCTAGAAAATTCCTGAATATTTGGAAATTGACAACTTATTTCTAAATAACCCATGGATTTAAGAAGAAATTTCTAGAGAAATTAGAAAATATTCTGAACTGAATTGTAATGAAAACATAATTAAAATTTGTAGGATTCAGCTAAAGCAATGCCTAGAAAAGAAGTCGATAGCTTAAAAAGGGGAAAGGTTTAAATCAATTACTTTAAGCTTGTTCTTTAAAAAGTTAGAAAAAGAAGAACAAATTACACCTAAATAGAAAGAAGAAAATAGTTTCCTATCAGCAAAGGTGTCAGACAAGGATATATTTTATCTCCCGATTAGTTTAATCTGTATGCAGAACATATCATGTGAAAAACTGGGCTAGGCTCAGGAAGGAGGAGTAAAAAAATAGGTGGAAGAAATATCAATATCTTAAGATATGCAGATGGTACCATCTTATTGGCAGAAAGTAGTGATGATTTCAAACAACTTCTGATGAAAGTGAAAGAAGACAGTGCCAAAGCACGACTGCATTTGAACATCAAGATGACAAAAAACATGGCCACAGAAAAAAATGCACAATTTTAATGAAGACATCAAACAGATTATGAAGGTAGGTAATGAAGACATCATAATTGTTAAAGATTGTGCTTACCTCGGCTCGATCATCAATTCACAGGGAGACTGCAGCCAAGAAATCAAGAGAAGGCAGAGACTTGGAAGGGTGGAAATGGAAGAATTAGGAAAGATCACCAAGACAGAGATGTGCTGTTAGAGACCGAGCGAGGCCAAGGTCATCCACACCCTCGTAGTCCCAGTTGCTATGTATGGATGCGAAAGTTGGAGAGTAAAGAAGGCTTATAGGAAAATAATTGATTCATTTGAAATACAATGTTGGAGGAGAGCTTTATGGATTCCCCGGACCACCAGATAGACAAACAAGTGGATCCTAGAGCAAATTAAGCCTAAAACATCACTAAAGGCAAAAATCACAAAACTGAAGTTGTCCTACTTCGGGCACATCATGAGAAGGCAGGGCACTTTGGAAAAGATAGTAATGCTGGTGAAAAACAGAAGACATCAGGAAAAGGGGAAGACCAAATATGAGATGGATTTCCATAACAGAAGCCATAGGCAGGAGTCCACAGGAGCTGAGCCGGGCCGATGAGGACAGGGCATTGAGGACATCACTCATTCATAGGGTCACAGGAGTCAGAGCTGACTCAATGGCATGGAACACATAAGAAAATAGTAAATGTAATTCATTATATTAATTTTGTTGAAATTTGTTAAAATATTTTTAAATATTTTAATTTTTAAAAACATATGATCATCTCAATAGA